GATAGGGCCTTATGAGGGTAGTTTCCTTGGAAAAGGCGGGCGCTGTTTAGCGACGGGGGGCATTTTGTACTAACATTGCTTCCCTAGTTCCGGTTTACGAATCTCACCATGGTAAAACTTGTGAACGCCTGTGAAGCTGGAGTAAGATCGTCTAGCCACCATCCTAAAACGTGTCAACTCGAGAAAAGGCTACCTAGATGGGTCGGCACATCTATGAAAAGCCGAATGCCCCCCCTCGACAAACTGCGCCGAAAAGGCGCTACACAGCGCCTGCTCAGGGTCGCAGAATCCCGTCATGCCAGGCGTTCTAATCCCACTCTCTTAGGGGTTTATCGTGCCAACTGCCTTCAAGTCAGCAGAGCGAAGCTGCAGCCATTGAGCGAGTGGCTATCTGTTTTTGCTTCAAATTCATAACGCACGAAAATTCGGTCGGCAGTGGGCACGATGGCGGGCACTTATCACCAACGTCACTGGTGGAAGAGCTGAGCGGGGTGTGGCCGAACGCCCTCTCGCAGCCCTGATGCCAATGACGCTGCAAACAACCGCCCGCCTCCAGCAACCATGCCCACTACCTCTGAAGAGATTCAATTCATTCTGTCTATCCTGGATCTGGAAACTACCTCAAAGTGGACAACAGTCCTGAAGCGTTCCGTAAGAGGGTGAGTGAGGAGCGAGAGAATGAGGGAGAAGAGGCCTTGGACCTCGATACCATGTCTCATACAGCACAAGCTCTAGAACGGTAAAATCAGATACAACCTAGAAAAGTATCATTTTCAGCACTTGAAGGTGAAAATACTCCCAGAAGAGCCTCCAATCCAATTTGAAAATGATATCCTCTCCGTTTACACTCAGGTGTTGTGTTTATAATGATTACTTTTTCATCAGTGTACAGTAAGACTTTTTGGAGGAAGACTTACCCCATTTCAGACCCAAGGAACAATATCTTTGGACTCCGTGTCAGACATCGATTCAGGACCGCTAGAGAATTTGAAGAAAGAGCAGAAAGTGAGGCGTTTCTTTCAGAGCCATGTAGTTTTCTGTTTTTTTCGGTTACCAAAGCGATGGTAGCGAAAACAAAACCGGCTGATCACTTCCTGTTCTGTTAATATTTACACACTACACGGGAAAACACGGTGCATGTAAAGCTCAGGGTATCCATGAGACGTTCCTCTATGATCAGGAGCATGCCTCCATCACTGTTACTTCTGTTGCGATGACCTGAAGCCAGTCATCGTTGAAAAGGAACTCAAGAGGACCAACACAACATCCGGGAAAAATTCATTCCCAACAGAGCAACTTTCTATTGAAGGCACATACGACCCTCCCCTCTCCCTCAGCGACCAAGTCGACCCCCCCCCCTATGTGTTTCACACAACGATGCTGCACCCTGATAGTAGAAGACTACGCGCATAAGTTCGACGATTTCTGAAGATATGCTGAGGGGTTACCGTAGTGAATGCTCACAGTATCTACAATCCACACCGAGAGGATAACATTTGTTCCCACGTACGCCACATATCCCAGGGGAAGAGAGGGCGTGAACTGCGTGCTCCAGCTGAACATGGTGTGGACTGCGTTTTTCGGGGAAAATTGTATTGCCAGCAGACTGTCACTGGTGAATTGTAGAGGACAAAGGCATGATTACAGTTGTCCCAACGGCAATATTCCACAGATATGCAACCGTCGCCACCTACGGAAGTGTACGCAGTCCTGCTCTCATCATATCCGAAATATGAAAAGTATATTGTTGCGAGCGGGGCGACGGTCACAAAAGTCCATACAGAGGCACAGGCTTACAGTCGTTTTCGCTGCAGATGCTGGGGCATGTCAGAAGAGCCTAGTTTAGTGCGGCGTCCGCTAGTTTCCCATCAGCTGTGGTAACTTGCCATTTCCACAACTGTTGAAGAACTGGCTGGCGCCGCGCCAAACCTAGCGCCCCTGGCACAGCCCAGTATCCGTAGGAAACAAGGCTGTAAGGCAGTTGCCCCTGTAACTTGCAACAGTAGTCGGTCTCTCAACTACAGCTTGGGAGCGCCTTTTTTGGCTCTCCTATATGTAACCCGTTGCAGGGAGGTAGTGCATTGATGTGCTAGGTCCCGCAATGATTACTGCTTCAGAACGTAAAAGCAGTGGGCAGATGATTTGGTTCCCTGCAGAAAACGTGAGCAGATACACCCCCTAGCACGAAAGTAACGCAAAACGATGAAACGAACTGGAACGCTCAAAATAGGACCCTTATAAAACGCTCCAATCAGGAAGTGTGCGAGTCTACGCTGAGATAAATCATCGGAGGTCTAAGTCAGTGTGAAAAATCACGGCGACTGCACAGGGAATTATATGAACACATCATTTCAAACAGTTGCAAACTTCACGACAGTGTCAGCAGGGTTCTTCGACAGAGACAGGGACATACTAATGACATTTTCACGAAGCGGCTATCGAAGATTCACAGGAATAAAGTGAAAAAAGGCAAAAAGTAAAATAAGTTCAAGTTAAAGGCTCTGCTTGCAAGAAAACCACGCGCTCTACCAAAGAAAGGCAGTCTCAGTAAAACCCGCCATTTGAGAAAAAGCGCCATTCAATTGTCAATTGCTCGTGATCCGGTGGTGATTAATCGCTGATCGGTGATCGGTGCGGCCATTTGTGGGCGGTGGTCGTTGCTGGGGTGCTGGGGGGGGGTGGTATGCTAAGCCTCGATAGAATGCTTAGAGACCGCTTTTCGTTGAAAACAACATCAAGTATAGGCTTTCTGAGGGGCACGGAATCCCATGGTGATCACCGTGTTCATGTTACATCCCCAGAAGATTTATAGTGCTCTTGCCTTGCCTTTATGATTTTTGACTTAGAGAGGTAGCTCACATCCTCCGTTGACAGCTCGATCCCGTTGAGATTCATGTGGCTGTCCTAGCAGCTACACCTGTAGCACTTCGTAGTTGGACTACGTCCTTATTCCATGAGACTCGTTGCGTCATGGTGAGACAGTTTCTTGATTAAGGGCACGGTCCACGATAAAATAAGGCTAAGTGCTCTCAAATGTGCACGACGAACAGGCAGGTACCCGCAGACGCTGTACTGGCTGCAAAAGTCGAAAACTAGCAAGTAGAGCGCAAAGCGCAAAGGTTTTAGGCCCATTGGCGCCCAATAGGCCCCATGCCGATTCCGACACTTGTGTCGATCCCTGACGCAGGGGCACAGGCATTCGATGGGATTTTTGGTCGAGCCTCGTAGCGACCCCCCTCCTTTTTGGGGTTCGGTACGTCCCCCCCCCTTAGAATATAAACAATTAGATATAAAAAATAGATATAAACAGTCCTACCTAAGTTGAGTTGATGTTATGTGCAAGCGTTTGTAATCAAAAACAGGATGAGTAGCATAAACACAGCATAAATGCGAGTTAAATGAGACTATGACTAAAACGAAAAAACAAAAGCGGCATAACAGAAAAAAAACAAAAAAGAAATGCGCTAAAAATGCATTAACCCGAGATGTGGAGTACGGTAGCAGAAATGCGTATGTAATTGCAGCCGTGACTGGAGATTATTCGTCAATTTTAGCACTGGAGCGCGAACTTTCAGCAAAGTGGGGTGTCTTTGAGGACCATAACTTCCTCAAAAGCGGACCTGTGGGGAAGAGGAGACCGTATTCGTGTAGAGGAAGGATTGCACTTCCTAAAAGTACTGAAACGTTTATGAAGGTCGCAAAAATCACAGAGAAATCTGCCATAAGGATTCGTTGGGGAGTGATTTCAACTGAACAGGTTTGAATCAATATATTTTTTTTGTAACTCAACATTTCACAAATCTGAGAACGGTTTCGAGTGTTTGAAAGATTTTCTCTTTCTAAAAACCTCTTGAGCTGTTTCTGAAGTTCTCGGGATTCATGAGATCTCGCTATGGGGATTTCTTGGGAACACTCCCAGCTGCGCGAAAAACCCGTTTCCTGTGTACCGTTTCAAGTGAGCTGCTCGATACTGGCTACCGCCCTCATTACGACCCCCCCTCTCCTGGCGGCCAAATACGACCCCCCCCCTATGGGGATTCCTCAACCAATGATGTGCCCTGCTCGTGACGATGCCATTGTGCTCTCTCGCCCGCCAATTTCTGGTCTCTCTCCTCTCATCCAGTGTATCGTCGTCCTTTGCAATTCACAATCGATCTTGACCGTCTTATGCTCGTCCGGTGATCACGATCCATTGCAAATTCAGGGCACAGCAATTGGTTGGGGATTCCCTATGGGGGGGGTCGTATTTGGCCGTCAAAAGGGGGGGTCGTATTTGGGCTGGGAAAAATTTATTTTTATAGTTGATTTTTCTCTCCTTGCGGACGTTTCGGAGGGGGGGGGGTCGTACCAGCCCCTGAAAAAAAGGGGGGGGTCGTAAAAGCTCGACCAAAACGCGCGAATGCTGTGGCGCTGATTGCAAACTAAAAAGGGTCTTCCTTGGCGGCGGTTTTTGAAGCGTTTTTAAATATTTCCTTCCATAGGTCAACAAACGTCACAGCAATTCCACTTTAAACTGTAGTTGTTATATGAAAGTGCGGTCGCGGGAATAGCTTAATAGAGGTCGCTGAAAAAATGGATTCATTTCCCCGAGCACAGAAAAATAGTTTGAAATAGTGTCAAAACGGTTTGTAGTTTTCAAGAGAGATAACCCAGCATGGGTACGAGCAAATTCTCGTAGAATACCGCGAATTGTTGGTATAAATAAAACTGAGGCATGCCGCCGCGCCTCGGTAGTTGCCATGTCGTTACGCACCGAATTTCTTACACGAACAGCGTGCGTGTCTTATCTACTCTCTAACATAACTCGGGGAATATGCTTCATATAGTTTGCCGCGTAATTTCCTCATCGGCACTGTTAAATTGCCAGGGCGCAGTACGCTACCGCCGGAGAAGCTACTGAGCGCTAGCAAAGTGAAGACGTCTTTAGAGCAAGCACCGAAAGCACTTCCGATAACGGACGCTTTGTTCTGTGAGAGAATGCAGCCCGATGGTCCTTACACATGGCCGATCATCGCAAAGGTGATGTAGAAATGGATTTCGTCAATCAGGTACCAACTGTATTTTTGTAGTTGTACATCGTCCCTTCTGGAAAGAGAAATAATTTTAGTTAATTACGAATGTCTTGGACATCGTGAATGGGGCTGGCAGTACAGAGCTAGAACTGAAGATCACATTGGACAGAGAGGTTCGCATCTGCCTATGAGAGTGGACTTTTCGGATTATATTCTTACCGCACACTGAGCGAAAGACTGTCAGAATTTATGAAAAAAAAGAGGGTTGATGTGACTTCCCTACTGTGCGTCGTCCATTGTTTATCTTTTTCATGCCCATGGACCATTCTAGGATAATGGTCTACCAAAAGTAAAGTTTGAACTGATACCAAAGTCACGATTGAAGAATCCAATTGAGCGACTGAATCGTGCTTATGTACAGTATGCAAAGGTATGTGTTCAGTGTCTATTGTAAATTCGATCGCCTGTACTGCAAGGAACGTCACGCGGCTTATCAGGGACGTCCGCGCAATCACCATGGAACTTTGAATGGGGGAGACCTGGGTAGATCGATAGAGTCTATAAGGTTATTTACAAATATAGATAGCAAAACTGCAACCTGCATTTCACAAGCAACTTATGAGCAGGTAAAGTTTGTAATGGTGCAGTAGGGTGGAGGCTTGGGGGAAGCATAAGCGAGGAATCGCATACGTCGAATCGAGTCATCGAACGTCAACCTTACTGCCCTGATGCCAATCCCCGACTCGATTGCGGGCCGTGGCTCACGCACGCGAACCACCTACTGCACCATTACAAACGTTACCTGCTCATAAGTTGCTTGTGAAATGCAAGTTGCAGTTTTGCTATCTATACTTGTGAAATAACCTTATAGACTCTATCGATCTACCCGGGTCTCCATTCAATGTTCCATGGTAAGTTGGCGGACTTCCCTGGTTAGTGTGGGCTAT